ATGGAATACGAATGCCCCCAACCGTCTCTATTAATCATTACTCCAATCCCGAAGACCAACGAAATAGGACCAGAGTCCTATCGCGTTATTCCATGATAATATTTTCAGAGCACGGGCCTGCTTTGAACACTGCAATTTTTTCAAAGTAACAACACCGGCTCTGGATCCCAACCAATAAAGGCAAGTTACGCATACCCGGCAAGAAAGGCGAAAGGGCCGGYACACGCCCGCAAGAGCGGACCAACCCCTCCCACCCAAAATCCAACTACGAGCTTTTTAACTGCAACAACTTAAATATACGCTATTGGAGCTGGAATTACCTCGGCTGCTGGCACCAAACTTGCCCTCCAATGGATCCTCGTTCAAGGAGTTTACGACTGTTCTCATTCCAATTACCGGACTCGAAAGAGCCCAGTATTGTTATTTATTGTCACCACCTCCCTATGTCAGTATTGGGCAATTTACACGCCTGCTGCTTTCCTTGCATGTGGTAGTCATCTCTCAGGCTCCCTCTCCGGAATCGAACCCTAATTCTCCGTCACCCGTTACCACCATGGTAGGCCTCTATCCTACCATCGAAAGTTGATAGGGCAGAAATTTGAATGGAATATCGCCGGCTCAAAGGCCATGCGATTCGACAAGTCACCATGATTCGCCGCAACAACGGGCAAGCCCGGATCGGCCTTTTATCCAATAAATACATCCCCCCCAGAAGTCGGGATATGCTGCATGTATTAGCTCTAGAATTACCACGGTTATCCGAGTGGTAAGGAGACCACCAAATAAATGATAACTGATTTAATGAGCCATTTGCAGTTTTTTTTTTGTTTTTTTTTTTTTTAACCAAAACACACACACAGCCCCATCTATTTTGGGGGGCATCAGTCCGGTTGCTAATCACTTGCAAGCAGAAAGACAAGGAAAAGGTAAAGAAGGTAGCAGAAAAAGGAGGGCAGGGGGGTTTCACCCTGGTCCCCTTCATCAAAAGAAAGGCGACCTGGACGACAGCGCCAGCAGAAAGGAGTGAACAAACTCATCTCCATCTGCCGCTAACATTGTCGCCCACCGGGAGGCAAAACCGCACCCGGTCATGGAGGCACCACTAAGATAGAGGGAAATGCTAAATCACCCTTTCCTACCTCACACCTCCCAAAAGATTACAACTAATCTATGCTTTCAGCCCTTGTGTGTGCGGACCTACTCATTGATCACCAATTCCTGTAAGCCTTTTACCCCTGCTTATCTAAAGAGAATACTTGCTTTTTCCGTTTCACTCATATTTTCATGTGATCCCAAATTTCTTCTTGTCTACTTCCTGTCTAAATCACCTCCCCCCCCCCCCCCCCCCCCCCCCCCCCCCCCCCCCCCCCCCCCCCCCCCCCCCCCCCCCCCCCCCTTCCTATCCCAAACTTACCCACGACACCCACCCATCCCATTGGCAAATAAATAAGTGAAAAACAAAAAAAGATAAAAAGGCTAAGACCCCTCCTCCCATGAGAGCACCCAAGACCATTCCCCAACGTGGTCCCCCACTGTAAGGCCTCCAGGCTTGACAAAAAAGGACCGACCTCCCCTTCGTCTCTTGGCCACATCTGCAAAGACCGCTGTTCTCAAATTCCGCACCATCCATGCTCGGAGTGTCTGGAACGATGGAGACACCCCTTTTCGCAGCAGGCGGGACCTCATGGCCCATACTGCAGCCCAAAAGGCTGCCCGAACCACATCCGCCGTGTAGGCCGCACGCACACTCGTCGCGTCTCCCGCCAACAACGCCCCTACGAGAACAGAGGAATTTCTCCTGTTGACACCTGCCAGTGGGCCGCCTCTCCCAACGAATCCCACCATTCCCAGAAGAGCTTCTACGGCGGACACTCCACCCATATGTGGGGCAGAGATTCCTCAGCCTGGCATTCCCTACACGCCCTTTCCTTGTGCTAACATCTATCCACCAACCATTGGTAAGTAGGTTGTGCCAAGTGGAGACCGAGCCACAACCCTCCCGCGTGCTTTTGATCCGGGAGAGGCGGTCCCACTTACAAGCTTTATGCCATGTGGGCCCATCCCAAGACTGAAGAGCCTTCTGGTCCAACCAACCCCGTTTCGCCCACCTCCCTCGCATTTCGTCAACCATATCCGTCGGGACAAGCAGGGACCTGTAAATCACCTTCGTGGACACCTGGTGAATCCTGCAACCCTTCCTAAGGGAGTTTTTGGGCGCCCATTCCCACACCGACGGGTCCCAAGGGAGTTGGAGTGGCCTCAAAGCCGGCTTGAAAGGTCGAAAATCCCCCCCTGAAGATATTGACTCGTCCCTCACCACCACAACCGGTCTTATAGTACTTTCATGAACTCTGCCGTCCCGACCTGGCCGCCGAACCAGAGGCTCACCCAAGACCATTTGTGGTCCAACATCCTCCCACGCCTCTGCCGTGTACCAATGAGACCCCACCTTCTCTCTTGACTGAAAGAAAACAACCGGACGGTCCTGCCCTTCCATCGTTACCCATTCGCCCTGAGTGCGGTCCTTGGATATGAGGCAGTCCACCCATTCCGGCGGGATCGCTTGTTTCATCGCATCCAGCCTGTCCTTCTTGTTTGGCTGGTGATCCAATTGTCGCAGCACCTCCCCCTCCTCCCTCCATGTACCCCTCAACACGTCCCAAATATCAACAACCCGGTGCACCCCATGCTCCAACCATTGCCTCGCAAAGGCACCCAACCCGCCCTGCCATGGAAAAGGGGCCCCCATCTGAAGTATGAACCGGTTGCCAAACAAGGACTGCCCGAGGATCTGATCACCAGTCCGCGGGGCCAACTGCCTTAGGGGCGCTTCACGCCACTTTTCCAGGGTACCTGACCACAGTGCCCCCCGACGGAGACCATATAAGAGCTGAGGATGGAGAAGGGCCGTTTCAACGTCCGCCGGATGCACCCTGATCGCTTCCGCCAACTCTTGTAATGTAACAACCCTCCAAGGTTCCGCATCATCCTCTAAAAGGAGCCACAGAACAGAGCGCATTTGCAGGGCAGCAACCTGCACTCGAGGGTCCAACAATCCCAGGCCCCCAACCGACCTTGGCTGCACCAATTTCTCCCATCGCACCTGTAGATAAGATGCGAAGTACAAGGGTCATCCTTCTATAGGAATTTCCTAAGGGCGCCCTTGTAGCCTTTCCACGCCCTCTTAGGAGGGTCCGATACCACTCCCGCATACCACAACGTTGCAGAAATCGCATTGTTAGCAATGAGGACCTTACCAAAAACCCCATGTGTTGCGCGTTTGGCCCAAGCCATCATTCGCGTTACTGCTCGATAAAGGAGATCCTCTAACTGATCCCCTGAAGATAAAGCCGCAGGGATCTGGATGCCTAGGTATAGAAACTGTTCCTCAGTTGACCGAGTCCTCATGCCTTGAAACATTGCGATATCAGCACCGTCCGGGACCACCGCCACATATTTCCCCCAGTTTACCCGTGCTCCCGCATACTTCTCAAACAGGGACACTTCACTGCGTAAGGCCGAGACGCTATCGTTTGTCAACTGGGACATCGCAGCAGTATCGTCTGCGAACGCATTAGACTTCACCTGCTCTCCCCCTGGTAACTTGAACCCCAGAATGTGATCATTTGCCCGGATCATCTTATGTAGGTGCTCGACGTACAGAATGTAAAGCGCAGGAGAGAGGGGACAACCTTGCCTTAGAGAGCGCGTGATCCTCAGGGGGGAGGACAAAAAACCATTAATCTGAACTCTGGCTTCAGCCATCCCCAAAACCACTTCGACTGCCTTAACGAAGCCCTCCCCCGCCCCTCTATGTCTCATGCCCTGCAGCAGAAAGGGCCATCTAACCCTGTCGTAGGCTTTTTCGAAGTCCAAAAACAGAGTAGCCAAAGGGGGCTGGGAACATCGTGCCCTTTCCATGATCTGTCGAACCAAAAGGACATTTACCAGAATCTGTCTCCTAACCACAAACCCCGTCTGTGTCGGGCGGACAAGGGATGGCAAAACACGAGCGATCCTGTTGGCCAAGACTTTCGCATACATCTTATATGGCTCCGATAACAGAGAGATGGGTCGCCAATTCCTAACTTCTTCCACATCCCCTTTCTTATACAAGAGAATGATCGTGGTCTGTCCGAAATTGGCCGGAGGAGCTTCTTCTCCTGAGAACAAGCGGTTAAAGGCGATGCACAAATAAGGAAGGAGGATCTGCTTAGCAACCAACAGATATTCCGCCGGCAGACCATCCGGGCCGGGAGCCTTACCCCTGTGCATCCCACCCATCGCCTCTGCGACTTCCTCTTGTGTGATAGGCGCGTCCAGAGCCGCCCTATGATCCGGTGTGACAAAGGTGGCGCACTTTGTCCATACGTCATTCATAGGTAAAGAAGCCATGTCCTCAACTGACCAGTTCTCATCCTCACGATATAAATCGCCATAAAACAATTCCACGTACCTGCGGATATCTGAGGTACTATCCGCCCTTGGTTCCAACGGATCAAAAGGGTGTCCCATAGAAACAATCAAGGGAGAGTGGGATGACCTCTTCATCTGGGCGAAAAAAAACTTAGACATCCGTTCAGCATCCCGCACCCAATTAGTTTTGGATGCTAGTCCCCAGAGGTCCGCATCCCGAGCCTGCCAATCCGCCCATTCTGAGTGTAGCAGGACCCACTCCGCTCACCAGTCATCATCTGAGCTCGGCGGCACCTCCCCCAAGGCTTCCATCCGCTGGAGGTACTCTTGGCCTGTACAGTCATGTGCCTGCCTAGATGCCTTGGCTCTTCTTTTCATGTTTGCCGCCAAAACCCGGACCCCCTCCTGGAAGTGCTCTAAAAACGGCTTACGCTCCGGGCGTGCTGCAAGCCATAGCTCCCAATGCTGCTTCACCAGATCTTTACCAAGCGACTCAGACAACCGCCACACCGGGCCTGTCATCGGAGGCGGTCTTCTGACCACCTGGGGGTGTAATGCGAGCGATGTCATGATGAACTTATGGTCTGAAATCGGGACCAGCTGCTGGTCAAAGCTCTGAAGGTTCGGCAGCAGATCCGAAGAAACCCAGGCCATGTCAAGCATGCTGCGCAGGAGGGGTGAGGCTCCAAACCAAGTACAACATTTCTCCTCAGGGTTGAACCTACGAAAGGCATCCACCAAGGCCATATCGGCCATTACCCCACACAACGCCTCTTCATCCGGTTTCGGGTCCCCTGGCACCAACGAATCTCTACCCGGGCGGATTACCGTATTAAAAACCCCTATCACAATCATACGATCCGAGTCAGGGAGGCAGGCTGTAAAATTTCTCCAAAACCATTTACGGTCCGTGATGTCCACCGGGGCATACATGGTCACAATCAACAATCTCGTCCCCCCTTCCTCGATATACACCCACGCCCACCTCCCCAACGTATCCCAAAAAAAGTCCAGAACCTTGCCTGTGAAGAACTTTGTGAGGATCACAGCCACCCCTCCTCTAGTCCCCTGAGCCGGAGCCCACAACTGGAAAGCACCTCCAAACCCAAACTCCGGGAGCGACAGGCTTCCACCCCTCAACCTAGATTCCGAGATCTTGGTCTCCTGGAGACATATTACTGATAATCTAGATTTATGGACTAATCTTCTTACTTCCTTCGCCTTGGATCTCACTGACCGTTGACCAAGACCCCTAACATTCAAGGATCCTACTCTAAACATGATTATCAATGCTAAATGAAGTGACACGGGTGACCTCTACCCTTTAACAGCGACCATGTGAAGAACTCAAGCCTCATGATAGTATGTCACCATTACGACACAACAGTTAACGCCTGCTCCCCCGGGAGCGGCCCGAGCTAGGTACCCTCACCTAGACCCTCGACCTCCTTCGCGGAACCACCGGACCATTCTGTCTTTTGGAGGGCCCCGTCTGACCTGTGGCCTGTGAGGCTGTTTCCTAGGCCGCCCCCCGGGGCGGCTGCACTCTCCACTGCGGGCCGTACAACCACTCGTCAATACAGTACCAGAGCCTGGTGCTGGAGAACCTTTTGGCCACCGGCATGCGCCTGTCAAGGTCCGTAAGAATCCCCAAGGGGGATGATATAGCGAAGACCACTGCATGTACCTTCGCCTCCGCAAAGTCCAGTACCAGCGCGAAGTTCCGCCACCCGAAGGTGGGGGCGAACGGGGCATTATTCTGCGACTGGTCAAACTTGGCTCTCACAAAAAAACAGTATAAACCTACCGAAAAAACATGACTCGTAGGAGCCAACAAGCGGATGGCCGAAGTTCCAGGAACCATGGCCAATTCAGCCGAGGAGCCCACCCATTCCCGGGCCGCTGTGAGGGCACGTTGCTGATTGGACATAGCGGAGAGAGCAACCATCGGAAAACGGGCATTATGTACGCCTGCCGAAGCCAAGACAGTAAGCACATGCAAAATCGACACACTCTCCATGAACACCAAAGGGACCAAATACAGCCTTCCTTCTGAAAGCAAATCCTCCAACACCCCATCCAGCAGCTGCATGCGTAACCTACCATTGAATGGGTCCCCCTCCCTCGGGTTCAGATTCCTTCCTTTCGTGCGCGGCTCTGGCTCCTCATCCCGAAACTCCTCGCTTGCGCCCCGCAACGGATCCGGAGACATTAATCTTACTCGGTCCTGAGAAGGCACCGGGGGGGGGGAAGCCACAGTTGGTAGGACCCTCAAAGGAGCCCTGATCTCCTGACAAGACAGATTGCGTGGGAACAACGTTGGACCCCTCCTCTTTACTAACCTCAATTACCTGCTCCAGTCGTGTTGAACTCCTGACTTGAGGCGGGCGTCCAACATTGCCCCTTCTTCTTGCCAGTAGACTGTCCTCATCCACCCCCGGAATCCTCAAGACTCCAGACTGATTGAGCTCTCTAAATTTCCTAGGCGTCTCGTCCTCCTCGGATGCCGAAGAGCCCCGAACCACCTGCTGCTTACCTTTGTCCCCACCCCCGCCTGCCACGTGAGACCTCCCCTTCCTCCCCCTCTTGCGAGCGCGCGACCGTTCCCTACTCACCCATCCTTCCCCAGACTCCTCCTTCAACCCCTCGCCAGCTCTCGAGCCATCCTGCATGGGCACATCAGCAAGCATAGGGGCAAGAGGAAGCTCTTCCTCAAGCCGCGGTCGCCGAGACGATGGGCCCGGGCCTTCCTGTATAGGCCCCTCAGCAGCCAAAGCCGCTGGGGCACACATACTCCTCTGTTGAGATGATGGCTCCGCCCTGTCACATGGGCCACCCAGTATGGGACCATCAACCCCCATAGTCACAGAAGCATGCACATCCCTATCCCTTACAGGGGATGGGGGCCGGGTCTGGACAGGACCCCCCACTAAAGTCAATGAACGAGACGGGGAAATGGAGGGGGGCTCCTCCACCAGCCACCCCCCTCCCTGCAACCGTGATGACGGGCACACACCCTCCAACAACCATCCACCATCCGCAGGCCCCTGAAAGGTAAGAGAGTGTCGTGCCTCAATGTTGACCCTGAATATGGAAAAGGAAGCCGCCCGATCAATCACTGATAAAAGGGACGGTCCCGGTTGACCCTGCGAGAACGGTGGGAGAATTGATGCTTTTGCAACAGGCGCCGCTTGTACCGAAGTGACTATAACACAGGACGCCGACGGTTGAGGATGGGAGACCTGATGAGTGGATTGACCAACATCCTCTTGTAGTTGCAGTTTTTCAATTTCCGCTTCTACGGCACCAGCACCTCTCTCTCCTTCGTAGCGTACATCCTTCCCAACCTCAGTTCGGCGGTCAGCAAGAGTCTGCGACTCACCAACCAACGCCGGACACTGTGAGATAACGGGGGTGACCGCCCCAATATGGGTTTCTGGTGACGGGGTGACAGTGACATCTGGAGCTGATGACGGGAACTCAGATGCTTGCTGGGGGGGAAAGCCATCCCCTCCCAGATACTGTTGCCCCTCAAAACTCCCCTCGACACCATCAATACGACCGCCTCCATCATGCCACCCCGCGCTCCCTACCTCTGCCTGATGCTGAGGATGAGTCTGTTCATGGGCCGACAGCGGCATATCCTGCATGGTCCTAGCATACCAACCAGCGGACCCAACCTCATTCTGTTGCGTAGGACGCTGTGAGACAACGGGAGTGACCACTGTCTGAGTTTCTGTTGGCGACACAACAGTGACCCCTGGAGCTGATGCCGGGATCTCTCGCTGGATCCTCTCGCCCCGGCACTCCTCCATTGGTCGGGCAACCTCCCCATTCTGCTGCTGATTCAAGGCACTCTGCTGCTGGTTCAGGACGCTAGCCGCTTCCACCACCGGCCTCAGCAGCGCATCATGCATTGTGACATCCTTCTCCCCCGGAGGGTGCAGCTGCCCTCCTCCCTCATGTGACCACTTGGCATCTTCGTGCCCCACCTTACGAGGGCCCTCACCCATACGTCGCTCTGGAGGGAGATCCCCCAGAGTCTGGTCCGGCTATGGGACCGGCTCTGGCGTGCCCCTCTGAGAGTGACTTCGTGCATCCGAACCCTCTGGCCAAGTTGGGACTCCAACCCCTCCCGAGTTCGTAGGCCCCCCCCGCAATCGACTCCTTAGGGGAGGTAGAAAACGCACATCCGCCAAGCCGCATACATCCCCCAAGCTTTCATCAGCGATAATCTCTGCACCAATCGCCACGTCAGCCTTCTGTTCGAAGAGAATCCATGCATCAACCTCTTCTGCAGCGTTGACCGAGCGAGCCGGATGCTGTTGTGCTGTTGAACAGTTTTATCGGGTAAAGCGAATGATTAGAGGCCTAAGGGGTGAGACACCCTCGACATATTCTCAAACTTTAAATAGGTAAGATTTCGGGGTTGCTTAGCGAACCCCGAGGATCAATGAAAGCTCCAAGTGGGCCATTTTTGGTAAGCAGTACTGGCGATGCGGGATGAATCGAAAGTCGAGCTACGGTGCCAAACTGCGCGCTAACCAGACACCAAAAAGGGTGTTGATTGATACAGACAGCAGGACGGTGGTCATGGAAGTCGAAATCCGCTAAGGAGTGTGTAACAACTCACCTGCCGAATCAATCAGCCCCGAAAATGGATGGCAATGAAGCGCGCGACCTATGCTCGGTCGTCGCGGCGATTCTGACGCCGCGACGAGTAGGAGGGCGCGGGGCCTGCTGCGAAGCCTGGAGCGTGAGCCTAGGTGAAGCGGGTCCCGGTGCAGATCTTGGTGGTAGTAGCAAATATTCAAATGAG